GCTTTCCTCAATAATATTAAAGCTTCACAACCTAATGCCCAAGACAAACATTCACAGTTAAAGAATCAAACAATTTTGAACAAAAGACACAACATGAAAAAAAAAAAAAATAAATTCAAGTCAAAATCACTTGGATAAGTTTCGAAAGAAACACCCAGTTCATGACAATTTTGTCAACTTTTGTACTTTTAGCAAAGTTATTTTACCCGGAAAAGGAGCACAGTACTCTGACATTCAACAATTTTTCAACTGCCAGGAAAGATGTCGTCCCCAACGTTGACCTTCTCGTGCAACTTGCCTACCAGCAGGGATGCCCGCCAGGTGGGATCCAAGATTAAGTTTGGGTCTGGATTCGATGAATTTGAAGTAGTACTCGGCAAGGCCCCGTTCGTAATAATGAAAATCGTTGCCCCGGATGTCCAAGAGCCGTCCACTAAATTCAACTTGAATTGTGGCCAAGACTTCCCTTCCCTCAAAAGGGCAAAAGTCACTTCTGCTCCCATTAAGTCAGCTGCCCCTGTTACTACCAGAGCTGCTCCCATTTCTACAAAAACTTTCACTCTCACTCCCACTGGGATCACTGTGGCTGCACCAACTTCCCCACCAGTGTCTAAGGAAAAGAAATTTTGTACGAAGAAAATTCAGTTCTTGCCATTGGCCCACCGCCGTCTGTGTTTGAAATTGGTTCTAGTTCGAAGTCCGATCGACTTACCAGGACTCAACAGAGGAACCGCAACCGTAAGATTTTGAAGGCTAAAAGGGCAGAAGCTTTGAAAACTGTTCAGTCTAAAGAAATTCCTCAGCAGGAGGAAGTTGGATTGCTTGAGACCGCACCTCTTCTTGGAGGAAGCAGGTTTCACCCATTAGCTGCCGCTCTTGAGGAGGAGAGTGCTTATAAGATCGCCGCTGCAAAGCCGTCATCGCCTCGCCGCAAGAGCGAGAAGAGAAAGAGACATGAACCTTTTGCACAAACTCGCTTAGTTTTTGAAAGAATGGCCCGAAAGGAGCGAGCCCGAAGAGAGCGTTGCTCCGTTGCCGAAATAATAAGAAGGATGGGGTGTGCTATATCGCCTCGAGTCCGAGCAGAGATTCTAAGAAAAGATAGCAATGAGACAGTAACACAACGACCTCGTATTCCCGTTAAGCTTCGCTTGGGAGAACGTTTTGATACCGCTGCTACCCAGGTTGTTACTGCTACCGCCTCACGAAAGCCCATAGAACACTGACCAATCCAATCTCGCTTGGGTCCAAGGACACCGCTAGCTGCCACAAGAGGAGAACCTCAAAAGATAAACAATGACAAAAGATCATTTGTTACCGCATTCGAACCGCACGCTAGGGATCGCAACTTATCTTGGAGAGCCGAGGCCACCAACGAGACACCTAGTCTCCGGACTTTGGTTTCGAAGGAGAAGTTGCAGAAACCTAATGTCGTTGGATTGGTGCCACAACATGGATCAAAAAGATATCTCTCCACAAAGGATTCAAAGTCCGATGCCCCAGCTTCTAGTGTTCCGGCCGTGACAAAGTCAGTGTTAATAGAAGGTGTACAACAAAAGTCCCCAGTCGATCTCAAGATCATTAAAGGGAAATCGATTGAAAACACATTGGAGAAGCTCAGGGCTGATATCTCTGAACTGTCAAAAGAACAAGGGAACATCAGTAATGAAGAATGTGATTTGTCGGATCATATGGATGAAGATTTCGCAGAAATCTTAGTGGTTGAGACTAGAGCCTCTGCGTCATCGCGCGATGCTCCTTCGCCCTCCGAAGAGAACATCGTTGATGAGCTACGGAGAGACATCCGACAAAGAGATGAACACATTATCCAGATGCAGAAAAGTATGGAAGAGATGATGGCCGTTATAGCTGCATTTCAGAATCAACCCCAAGCTCCGAGAGCAACTGTTCCAGAAGCAAACCAGCCAGAAGTCATTCATATTGGAGATGAAAATAGGGAACCAGCCCAAAACACAATACCGGAAAGGGACATCAAACAAATGGTTGAACAACAAGTAAGGGAAGCCTTAGCTCAATCCAAAGGAGGAGCCTTGATTCCAAAGGGGAGACCGTATCCAGAAGAGTTCGATGCAGTGCCCTACCCAAAAGGCTTCGTACCACCTACATTCAAAACATTTGATGGAACAGGGAACCCTCGTCAGCATGTTGCACACTTCCGAGCAAGTTGCTGCAACGCGGGGGGTAGCGAAGCACTTTTATTCCGCCAGTTTGTGAGCAGTCTCTCTGGAGTTGCTTTTGATTGGTATGCAGAGCTGCCTAATGGGTCAATAAAGACATTCACAGAGCTGGAGAACATGTTTGTCAAGAGGTTCGCTGGAGCTCAGCACCATGTCACCATAAGTGATCTTGTGGTGGAGCGACAGAAACCAACAGAAACCCTAGTGGAATACATTCTGCGGTGGAGGAATCTAAGTATGAAATGTGAGCCACAATTGCAGGAGCAGCATGCAATTGAGATCTTACTTAAGAGCATTCATGGTCCAGTAGCCTTCCTACTCAAAGGATTTACAATCAAAACATTTGAAAAGCTGCTCAGTAAAGCTGCAAGCCT